AGTTTTCTCTACTTCTGCAGTCCTCATATGTCTTCACCGGAAAATTTTGTCTCTTGTATTATCTCTCTTATCTACCTCCTTCTTGAAATAGCGTAGGAGTACAAACTATCTGAAGTAAACAAAGTGTTTAGCTCAAGTGTCAGTGGCATGGAAGAAGGGGTGGTGGTTTCCTGTCTTTGAGCTGTGCCTTGCATGTATGTTGCCTGGAGCCCACTGTTGTCCACAGTCAGTGGTCACTACAAGCTGCCATAATCTGTCATTGATGAAGTTGAGGTCCCTTATTCCTAAAGGAGAATAGATTATCTGATCTTTTCTGATTCAGATCCCCTCATTTCCTCCTGGACCTGCCACATACACTGTTTAGTCTGTTATTCTTTTCTATCCATGCAGAGCCATTGGCAGCCTTCTTGTGAGACTCCAAACCATGCAGGAAATAAGGTACCTCAGGGCTCATCTAGATCCTTTCACTGACTGTGCTGCCTGGTCTCCCAGCCCAGTTAGACTGCTACAAGTCTCTATGTAGTGATTTCCTGATAGCCAGATTGAACTATTGAGCTTTAGGAACAGTTCTCTCTGTGCCTCTCACCTGCCTCAATTTATCTATCCCACACCCAGAGATGGTGAATAAGGATGCACATCACATTGCTTCTATCTTCACCCTCTCACTTGTCAGCATCCTGGACCAATCATGTTGTAAAGGTCAACACTGGAGGCCAAAAGGGAAAAGCACAACCAATATTTTTACCATAAATCATTTCTTATATGTGAATAGTAAAAATGCTATTTCCTCCTGATGCTTTTTTGTTTCCTCCCTGTCAGAAAAACAAATTTAATATAAAATCAGTTCACCAGTGATAGAGAATATAAATTAGTGTTATGGAGAAGTATTAACACTGATTTGTTATTCAAATATACATATGTCAGAGATTCCTTGAAAATGCACATTGATGCCCATGTTTCTTTTTTAGCTCCTGAAGCTAAACAATTCTGATTTTCATAAATGTTTAATTATAATATTCAATGGAAACTTCATTTTTTACATTAGATGCAATATAATGACCAAGCTAACCAAATCTGAAATCATATGATGTAACACATTTGGGTGAAAAATTTACTTAATCAGCTAAAGGTTTCAAAGGGTATAAACTTTTAAAACCGTGTAGACAAAAAAACTAAGAGACTATTTGAATTTTGCAACACTTATTTAAATAATTTTGCATAATGTACTCAAGATTTTGCCCAAGACCCATTAGAACTGAAAAGTAAATGCTTTATAGAAGGAGTCTCTTAAAATAATAAGTAGAGACAAATTACAGTCTCCTCTTTTGTGACTTATATTCTCAAATCAACAAGTTTACTCACATCTTGTAGCATTTAAACACCAAGAATGTCTTTGGTGCCTGACAGAAAGAAAAGGGGCCAACTGAATGTTCAAGAATTTGAGGTCTGTCATTAAACTGTGTCATCGTAATTTAATCTCATTGTAATCCCAAGAAGAGCTAATTAGTTAATGCTTATTTTGTCTTCTGAATAGTTTATAGCTTTAAGCCATGGTTTTATGAAATCTAACAAAAAGACAAAGGCAATTTATAGTAACTAATCATAATGTAATCATGAAAGTGTATGAAAAAATGATGATGTATCCAAAACTTTACATTTTTTTTTATTTTGGGGTTAGCTTTATAAAAATTTTATTAGTTATGTATTTTGCTGTAACTAAAACCATAAGTGGAAGTGTTAAGAGGTTGAATAGTTCCATTTATTGTACTTTAAAAATTGGATCTCCCACACTATGTGTGCAAATCCCATAGGAAAATATATTGAAGGAAAAATAGTGACACACGCAAAATTAAAGAAATGCTAGAATGGCCACAAGCATGTGAAATCATGATCATAACCACCTTGACAGCACGTTGACAGCTTCAAAAAGAAACATTTTAAGATTCTAAAGGAATGGGGAAAGGATCTCATAGTGGGAAAAATGTACGTAACATTATCTAGGGTGTTTTCTTAAAAAACTTTATACCTGTGAATAAAAAGGAAACAACTATAAGGGGATATTTTTACAATGGAACAAAAGTTATGCTAAAAAGATTTGGACTTTATAAATCCATAGACGATTTCTGGCAGCACTTCAACATATGGGCAACAGGCCTGAGTCATAAGGTATCTCATGCCTCACACCTCTCTTCTCTACCGTGCTCACTCACTAGCCATATGTTTTAAACTATGAATGCTGAATAGCACTTTCTGGGCTGCCTGATGTCTGTTTGTTTACACTCTTCAAATAGGACAACTGGGTCACTGCTAATAGAACAATCCTAATTTTTATGAACTGAGGATGCTTCATATTTTCTATGAGTTCTAGCTTTCCTACCCAAAAATGAAGGACTGGACTACATTATCTCTGAGTTTTCTCTCAGGTTCAAATACTGTGATTGTATCTGGCAGCTTCAGAACAGAAAAACGTTTCCAGAATCTCCATGTGCAAATGACAGTGAGGGAGAGATGTGTGGGAAAGCAGAGAAAGATCAAGTGCTTGCCTTCTTGGAGGTCACTTACCACCCCGGTCACACAGGGGCAGAGAGAACTGACAACCACATTTCCACATGGCGGAAGGAGACCATGCCAGAAAACACCAAAGAAAGAGGCTTGTGTTTTTAAAACAGAGAGAACACTGGATAAGGGGTGAGGCGCTTGATAAACTTCCAGGTGAGACCATCAGCATCCTGGTTGTGAACTTGAGGAAAGAACACTGTTACTGACATGCAATATCTCCTTCCCTGAATAAATGAAAACATGTATCATTAGCCTTACAAACCCCTACTCACACTAAATTCAGAAATTAAAACATCTAACGCAGGACTTCTGAGATGTATAAGGTAGGAAGCATCGTTCCATTTCCACAACAACAAAATCTAGGCAACCTGAACCATCAGTGAATTTTCATGCTCTCATCTGGGAGTTAAAGTTGTAGAGCAGAGAATTTCCCCCAAATGCAGAGGGACACTAATAAGAAGAAAGCTGGAGTAGCTTCATTAACTTCAGATAAAGCAGGATTCACAACAAGAAGCATTATTAGGAATAAGGAGGAGATATTCTATAATGGAAGACAGATCAATTCTCCAAGATGTGGGAGTCCTAAGGGTGTACACCCTTAAAAGTTGACCTTCAGACTGAGGTGAAAACTGATAACTCTGAAAGGAAAAATAGACATATCCACAATCATTGCTGGTGACTGGATAGAATAAGTAGGTATAAAATCAGTAAGGTTGTAGAAGACCAGAACAACAAGATCAACCAAATGTACAATCAGACAATGTGCTCAATGTGGCCATTTAATACTACAAAATTTCATCTGACCATTTTTTGTGGATGTCTAATACTTTAAGATACTTTGGTTTTATGTAAACATTTTTCCAAGAAAGCTTGCAAATTTTGTCTGTATATCCTTTGCCAAAAAGAAATTTTTACATATGAGATTTTTAAAATTAATGTGAAGGGACTGCTTTTTCATGCTGTTTTATAATTTATATTCTTAAAGAATGTGGAAGTTGGTTTGTCTTACTCTTAGTTTTATAGGTAAAAATAAATTTTATGGCTGCAATCAATCCTTATCCCAATGGATTTATAGTCATTTTGGCTTTTTGAAGTTTATTCCTTAGTGAAGTATTTAGGAAATTCTCATGGCAATCTTTCTTACATTGTTGCATATTCCTCAGATTTTGTCTACTTATATAAGAAGATCAATTCAACTGAATGAAAAATTCACAATTAATTGATTTATTTTTAAATCTTACATACTTCTTTCATTGTTGTCAATCATAAAACAGTGATCTGGAAAGATCTGAAGTTAATCTATTCTTTTTTCTTTTCCATTTGTATGTGACTTGGTCTTTATGCCTGTATTTTTAAGGTATTCTTTCCTTTAGCTTGTAGCTCAATATTATTAGCATAGTATACTGTAACGCTGACTGTTTTGGATTGATTTCCTCCCAGAATGTGACATGAATTTTTAATACATCATTTGAAGGCTTCAAAATATTGCCTTAAATTGTAGTATTTAATATATATCTGTATTCTGTGTCTTCTAACTAGCACTTTCTCTGAAATCCTTTAATATCTATTTTCAGTCTTCATTACATTACCTTGTGTGTCATTGCTTGTTTTAGTATTTTAATTTGGTCTTTAATTTTGAAGTAATTTTGTCTTTTAATTCTCTCCTTGTCTTTCTTTTCAAATCTTTTTTGTATCCTCCATTCTCATTAATTAGTTCTTCTAACTTGGGTTTATGCCAATCTATTATTGCTCTAACATGCTCTAAATTTCATTGTTTCTTTTGAAATTTTTGGTTAGAGTTTTCATCCATTGTGTGGCATATCTTTCTAATATATAGTTATTTTATCTGGGGACCTTGTTTTCTTAATTATATTTTTCTTTCATTATAATGTTCTATGGGATACAACTTTAATTCCTTCCTATTGCTTATCTTTAGCTGATTTCTTTTTATACTGAAGCCTTAAGAGGAGGAGTTGGGACTCACCCTTTTGGTGTTATCAGGAAGTTCACAAATATGACCTCATACTGGTGTCTCTTACCTTTCCCTTGGCTTTCTTTTTCTTTTGTTTCTTGGTATTTTGCCCTACTTAACTTAGATTCTACTTACAGCAGTTTTTCTTGAGTTCAAAATTATGTTTCCAGAGTACAGTTCCAGCTGTGTAGGTTTCAAAGATAGGATCCCACTAAGTCAGGCTTTTCTGCTCTTCCTCAGTTCCTATCACTTCGCCCTGGATCAGAGCCTGCAGAAGCCTATTCTTTTTCAGCTGCTTTTATCAACTTGGCCTGTAAAATCTGAAGTTCAATAAGCCTCAGAGGCTACAAAACTCCTTGGGTTCCCTCACTTCCTCTTGCTCAGTTAATATGGAAAATAGGTCTTTTTGCCCTACCCACTTGTATATTGGAAGCATTAAGGTTATTTATTCATTTATTTTTTCTGCATTTTACCTTTTGTCAGTGGAGATCTGAGAAGATTCACAACTACATCACCACCATCATCTCACTCAGAATTCTTTTTGGTTCTTTTACAATAGAATGATAAAGAAAAACCTACAGAAAAAGAGAATAAAATACTTGATGCTTCAAGCTTACAAAGGCTTTCTCTTCAGCTTAATTGAAAAATTTTCAAACATTATTGTAATTCCATTTGTAAGAAAATAATCTCCTTAGTAACACCATTTGCCATATACATTCATGGGAAGGGTTCTTGATTCCTACTTTTAGAGCAATTTCTCCATTGCACTAACTACTGGTCATCAGTGAGTACTGAACTCTTGAAACATGGCTATTCCATGTAATGCTAATTATTTTGACATACTGCATTAGATAAAAATATTACTATAATCAACTTTAGTTATTTCCTTTTACTTTTTAGTTGTAGTTACAGTACCTACAATTACCTATGTGGTTTCCATCTGTGGTTCAGGCTGTATCTCAGCTGGTCAGTACTGGCCTGGAACATGAACATCTGCATGTCCTTTCTACGTGTATTTGTACTTCAAGGTATTCTCTAGCGTTATAACACATAGGCAGAATAGGTACTCGTGTAAATATGTCACACAAGTAAGCAAGTTTTGTGACCCATTCGGTGTCACTGAAATATGCTGCCAGTGGTGACTGTTTTTCTAAAAGACATCTCTGGAGCGGCTCTTGTAGCTCAAAAGCTCTGGCCAGTAATCTTCCTTTAGAAAGCCATCTCAGTTTTGTGTGTAAGAGAAGATGCTGGTACTCTGAATCCATTTCCTCATAGACCTCTGTGAATGGATGAGTTAAGGAGACATATTTTAATGTAATTGATCATTTTAATTGGATCCTGAAAAACATGAAGTTTAAATGACTTTTTTCAGATTCCCAGCATTTCTCTAGGGTTGACACAGTGAGTAGACCCACATTCAGGAGCAACTTCTTTGGCTTGAGTTGTGAAGTCACGAATCTCCAAGCACGGCAGTCACTCCATCCCTGCATATATCAACAAAAATATCCAATTCAGTTTTCCCAATATGCACTCATTCAAAAATTTGAACAGTTCTGTAACTGTGATGTTCGTTGGCAACAAAAATGCATATAACATAGCCTTATGCACACCCTTCTGAAAAACAAACTGCACAAAAACAAGCATTGTTCATTATCATCAGCTGACAGATTTGTCAACCTGGATTTTGTACCATAATGACTCATTATTCCTCTCTAGCAATGTGCCTCAGCATCCTCAGCTGTGTCATCAATTTGACTAGTTATGGTGCTTTTGAACTGCAGCTTCTTCTGAAAGTTCACAACAAAGGTCCTTCTCAGAAGGCAGGAACAACTCATCACCAATAGTAAAGGACTTCATAGCTTTAGCAATGAACTCAGTGAGCCATTAAGAGTTATACTCTCAGCTCCACCTCAGATCACCAGGCGTTAGATTCTCAGAAGGGGCCTACAACCTAAGTCCCTGATATTCAGTACAGTAGGTTCCATGCTCCTGCGAAAAGTTAATGTCCCAGTGGGTTGCCAGGAGGCAGTGCTCCGGTAGTGATGTGAGTGACAGGGAGTGGCTGTAAATATAGATGAGGCTTCACTCCCTAGGCAGGTACCCACTCACCTCCTGCTGCGTTTCTTAGCAGGCCACAAACCAGTACTGATATATGTGATTGAATAACTAGGGAAGTGGAGAAAAATAAGCAAATCTGCTTGAGAGAACTCTATGTAATTTATTTAGAAAAGACTGTACCCTCAAGAAGTGAAATGTAACTCCCTAGTCTTTAAGTGATACAGCGCAGTGATTGCCTCTGTCTCTGTCTCTCTCTTTCTTTCTCTCTCTCCCTTCCTAAAATATGCTTCCTGAGTTGCTGAAGGTCTTTAGTTAATTTTCAGATATCTAAAATTCAATTTTGACAATTTTGCCAGTTTTATCTTTACTTTTATGAGACAGAGAATTTTCAGAATTGCTTTTCCAGATATTTTCCTGCCATCCAGAGCCGCTGAATTTTAAAGGATTACGTGGACTTGAACAACAAGGTTCGTGACAGTGATGTGGGTGGACCAAAGCCAGGGAGACTTTTCTGTAACTGTCGCTCTGCTTTGGATTCCAGAACCTTTCTACATACATGGGATGGATTTGGAAAAAGGTGCCCAATGTCAGTGGAAGATTGAGTTTACTACTGAACAGAAATTCTAAGGCCCTCAAAAGTAGATTCAGTTTATCTCAAGAAATTAAAGTCACATGTCCTTTCTTTTACATTTGACTTTCAGGTGGCAGATTAATATGCTATACAGGACTAGAATCTACCTGTTCTTAGATCTGTGTCTTTTTTTTAGATCTTTACACGCATAATTTTCTAAACGTCCCACTCTCATTATATTCCTCTGTGATTCCTCCACTAACTGCAGCAATGGTTTTGAATAACTGAAAACTTCAGGGGTTGCAAAAGCCTCTCTCCTCACACAGGCATGCATGCATACACACACACACACACACACACACACACACACACACACACAGTCCAATTAGGCTTTTTATTTATTTTATATGCAGTTTCAACACATGATGGCTGACTACTAAATAAGAAATTTGAAAAATGGTTACTCTATAATATTCATTCTCAAATAAGAATAAGCCAATGAACTTGATATGAAACCCAATGCCCTGGCTTCAACCTGGAAGATTCCTATGGAGTAGGTTTGCATAGTGAGTAGGATGAGATGATCTTCAGTCAATCACTGGAAACAGCAAAGAACCATTTACCAGGCCATCCAAAAATGACTCAACACGCTTCATAAACTGGTAAGGTCTACCTTTCCACCCTGTAAATCAGTTGCCCTCCCAGGATTGACATTGGCTGTGTTTTGTTCAAGCTGAGCCTGGCTGACTTATCCTCCCACATCTGACATGCATTATCCTTCCTTTATGCTTGACTTCATCTTACCTTTCCTTAAGGCCTAACTCAGATTTCGCTGTCTCACTTTTACAAACCCTACTTAGCCCACATTAATCAGAAGGAGGAATTAAGCTACACGCTTCTGTTTTTCTAAATAACATTAATGGTTGCTTAGTTTTTAATTTTCTCATTTCATCACCTTGGGTTTCATGCTGAGTGATCTGCCCCTGCTGTCCGTATTAGATGGAAACTCCTACTGGGGCTGTCAGCAAAACCAGGACTCAGACTCCAGGGCACAGAGATAATCCTGATCCAAAATGTGTCTAGGGATCACCCAGAGATCAAAAGCCAGGTGAACAGGGCCTCTTGGGTGGCATCATGACAGGGCAGAGAGGCAAAATCTAGGCTGAAACAACTGCGGAGAAATTAGGTGTCCCTGAAGAGTGAGCTCAGAGCTACAGAAAGGAACTGCCACTGCGTCTGGACTCAAGGACTCTTTTGTGCAACAGCTACAGGGCCAGGCATGGTGGAAATGCTGCTGGGTACACAGTGGCAGAGAGACATAGTGATAACAATACTATAAATTTCTCTTGTTCTTACTTTTAAAGAGGATGAAAAGCTCGAAAGATTAACCCAGAAGTGCCATGGCTTGCCTTTGTTAGCTCATTCCTGGAAATACTCTGGGCTCATTATGGTTCTCCAGCATCTTCAATCTCCAGGCACAGAGTTCCTCAAGTGTAAGAGGCTGGAGGGAAGAACAAGGCACTGTCTCATGCTCTCTCAGTGACTACAGTCAGAGTCAGAACAAATGTTTCCTCTTCCGTGTTAGAGTTACATACTTGGCAGCTGAGCGTTACCAGCTCTATTGTGCTAACTCAACATTAAAAGACATTTAAGTGATTTGTGTAATTAATGTGTAATTAGTGTGTAATGTGTAATTAATGCAGAATATTTTCATGTAAAAAAGGAACTGATTGATTTTTTTTTCTCCCACAAAGTAGATTTCAGGTGCCACTTAAAAATTTCTAGACACACAGCGATTTATACATTTTAAAATTCTGGTGTGCTGTCCCTGCACTAACATATTTTTCATAAACCATCTGACTTTATTTAATGATGCCTTTGTATAATATTGTCCTTCCACATCTGTAGGCTTTACATCTTTGGATTCAACCAATTGTGATTGAAGATATTAAAACACATTTACATTTGTACTAAATATGTACAGATTTTATCTTTGTCATTATTCCTAAATAATCCACTATTTTTAGCATTTGGACTGTTGCAAGTATTATAACTATATGGGAGCATATGCATAAATTATATGTAAGTACTATGGAATTTTATATAAAGAACTTGAGCCTCTACAGGATTTGATCTCCCTGGGGCTAACAGGATCAATGCCTTGTAGGTGCCAGGGAACTTCTACATGTTTATTTACCTATTTACAAATATGAGCATAGTAAGACAAAGTCAAAATGTTACTGTGTACATCCTTTTACCTTTTCTTATATTCTCACACTTAACCTTTACTTTTAATCACATTCTTTCTTAAGCTCAAATGTTCACTGACTAGAACATTGTCTATATTTTCTTTAGTGTCTCTGACAGCATATGATGGTAGAAATGATATGTGTACTATATAGTGAACTTTGTTCAATAAATCAGAAACTTAGTGAGTGAAGAACTTTTTGATAAACTAAAGGACATTACATAAAAGTAAACATAGATGGAAAATTTTTATCTGATGACAGATACGTTTCTTATATATGTTTAGAGGCCAGTATTTTAGAACCCTACCAACACTCATATATAAAACCAGACAAAATGTCTCAGTGTAATACCTGCTCAGACTCTAAGAGAATATTATGGCTTTGAGATTGAGGGAGAGGTTGTTTGATTTTTTTTTTTAATTTTTGCCTCTTTGTATGCATTACTTATGTGTTGAGCATATACTACATGCTCACTAAATAATACAAGCCAAGGCCCTGTGCTCATGGAGCTACTGTTTGAGCAGGATAAGATAGAATACATTGAAAAATACTAAATGTGGTAATATTTCAGGTTTTCTTTGGGGTTATAAAGAAAATATATGTGTGGTGGTGTATACAGAGGGAATGAAGGAAGCAATAGTATAGGTATGCTGAAGAGGCATATTTGTCCTCAAACCTTATTGTAGTTTGGGGGATATTTGCTAGGGGAAACAATATAATACAGGACACATATTATAAGATTATTGGTAATAGTCACCCAAAGAATCATATACAAGAGAGTGTAGGAAATCTGTCTGCACACTAGAGATCAAAGAATCCAGCTGAGGGCCTGGATCCTGTGATAATGTTCTGCATGAGTGCAGCTGAAGACCTAGAGGCCATAACAATATCTCCCACGAATCCAATTGGAGGCCTAGAGCCCACAACAATGTCTTGTGCAGGCTTGTTTCATGGATCTGCACTGGGAAGGCCCAAAGGTCAGTGGTGGAATCTAGAAAGTCTGTGCCAGTGGGATGAAGGATCTGTGCCAGCAGGCTGAATGATCTACACTGGAGCCAGGAAGTGAGGCTCAAAGTAAGAATCAGAGCTCCCCTGAAATGTACCACAGCCATTCTCAGTAACAGCAAGGTCCTGAACTCCTCTGATGGTGAAGACAGCTAAGTTCCCATCAGGAAAACCAACACAGCAAGCTTCTCCAGAAGACTGGCAGTGCACCATCTTCCCCTCTGGAGCCAGGAAATGATGCTCAAAGTAAGGATCAGAGCTCAGCCAAAGTGAACCGAAGCTATTCTTAGTGCCAACAAGGTCCCAAGCTCCTTGGAGGATGAAAACAGCCAAGTTCATCAGGAAAACTAGCATGACAAGATCCTCCAACAGATCCAACAGCTGCTTACAGCTTCTACCTGCTCCCAACAACCTCTTTCAGTTCCCAACAGCCTAAATTCTTCTTCTCCAGTTTTGCCTCTTATGCTGCTGGCAACAATCCTCAGGTGGGCCTCCCACACTCAGCACCACATTTAATCAGTTCAGCTGGGGGTTATAAGTTGACCATCAGTTGTCAATCCACAAAAAACTTATGAAAAGTAGTTAAACATGTGAAAATATGAAGGAAACTGCTCCAAGCAGAGTTTGAACAACCTGAGGCCAGAACACGGAATGACCAGCCAGAGACAGGAACAGGACGGGGTGTTTAGGAGAGGAAGAAAACTGAGGATCTGGGCCTGTGGAGATTGCTGTGGAGAGGAGACTGCTGCTATGAGTTCAGCAGAGTCCACTGAGAGATGCGGCTTTGTTCCTCCTGAGCATCTGAAGAAGACTTTAGGCATGACAGGCACATCATGGGATGTGAGTCCACAGGCAGGAACCATCTGTTCTGGTTTTGATAGGTGTGATAGATCATCTGGCCCAAGTTCTATTCCTTTTTGTCCTTTTAACGCTGCACTCCAGTCCAGCAGGGAACCATGAAAAGATTAACCTCTTTTGAAGAACTTGATGCTTTAAAGGAATCTGTTTCCTCTAGAGAATGAAAGATCATAAAATATGTGAATATTGGGACAGCGTCCAAAGAAAACTTCCAAAGGCATTCCAAAATGTATATCAGGAACAAAACGTTCTATTCATGGAATACAGAATAGAAAATCTATGGACTTTCTCTCAGGATTTTTTATTGAAACAGAATGCATATTGTGATCTTCTTTTCTTTAAAATATCTTATACATCATATTTTATATCACCCATTTTTATGCGTTGTATATGACATATTTCCCTACTTTTGATTTCAGTACATCTTAAATTTTATATGTACTAAGACTATATCTATATGTAGTAAGATAGTAGCTATATTCTGCTATTTAATCATAATTTCTATAGATATTTAGCTTTGTACTAACCTAAAATATATTGCAAGTCTCTTTTGCTATAACTTGTCAATTTCAGAGTTCCTTGCTAAATCCATACATTTTTGTGGTTTCCTTTCATTGTCAGTTTTTTTAGCTTGCTTCCCACTTTTCATATTATAATGAAGTACTTCTAGGTTCTCTTTTTCCTGAGTTCTTGAGTGTTTTCTGTTGTTTTCATATTTGAAGGACACTTAGCTGGATATAAGAGTTGGTTGGCATCTGCATCCATGAGTTTATTTACCAGGTATTGTTAATTGAGTTACTAGGATGTGCCAGACACTGAGAGAACAGAGTAGACAACAAAGACAGGGTTCTTACACTTATGAACCTCTCAATCCATTACAGAGTAGAGAGGCCAATGTGTGTGTTTTATGTTGTGATGTGTGTTGGGAAGAAAAGCAAGGTGATGGAACAGGGAAGCTGTGTGGTGGTTAGTTAGGTAGGGACTTTTTGAAAATAACATTTCAGCTGAGGGAGTAATGCCAAAAGCCACTCATGGAACTGGTGGGAAAAGTATCACAGGCCAGAGAAAAGGAAGAAAAGCTAGTGGCCAGACCCAGTAGCAGAAAGAGGAAAGGTTTTTAAAGGTTGGTAGTACAGAGAGGAGGAATGTGTTGTGGAAAGTAGTGAATGTTAGGATACAGCTCAGATAGGTGGGGAGATTAGAACATACAGGATCAGACAGGCCACTGAAAGAAATTTAAGATTTTAAAAATTGATGTGCGAGGCAGGCAGAGCCCTGGACACCTTCTGGGACCTCACTGGCCACTCTCTTCAGCACCTGCACCACTGCAGGAACTGAGCTGAACCCCAGACAGAGTCAGCAAACTCAAGGACTCCCCTCTCAACCCTGCCCTAATGGTAAAGAAACTGGGCTGGGTCCTGGGCAATGTCTGAAGCCTTGGTGACCACAACCTGCACACCCAACCCTGTGGAAGCTGGGCTGAAACCTGGACAGGTTCAGGAACTCCAGGGAGCCTCCCCTGCCCCTCTCCCACTGGCCTGGAAGCTAATTAAATGCAAGAAAATTTCCACAGCATCTGTGACCCCACCTTGCCCCCACACACCAGCACAGGAGCCACATTGAGCACTGGGGACCTTCAGATCCTCACCCCACCACTCCCATACCATTTTGGGAATGAGGCTGGTCTCCAGGGAACCTATAGATCCCTCTACCTCACCCAGAACTAGTCCAGGAGACATCAACACAAAAGAGCCTAAAAGTCATACACCTGAAATTTCTGAAATGATAGCAACAGAAGTAAAGAAACAAGTCCATCAGGCCATAGAAGACAGCAGATCAGAAATAATCTCTCAGGTAAAAAAAAGAAATGACAATAATGAAGAATTGCTCAGCACATCCAAAGAAGACATTGATAAGAAAATAGAGGAGCATGGAAAACTCATGAAACCTTGAGTGAACACTATAGAAAATAACTAGAATGTCTTAAACAGATTTAAGCAGATATCCAGGAAATTAAAAATTCCATCAAAAGCTGGCAAAACTGCCTGAACAAAGCTGAAGAAAGACTTTCAGACCTTGAACACAGCATTGTCACTAACAAACGTGAAAGAAATTATCTCTTAAAAATAACAAGGAACCAGGAAATAACAATTCAACAACTACAAGATGAAGCAAACAAAAACAATGTAAGATTAATAGGTGTCAAGGAAAGAGCAGGTCAACACAAATGACATAAAAACAACATTTGCAGAAATAATAATAGAAAATTTCCCAGGCATGGAAAAAGAATTGGACATATAGGTAAGTGCAGCATATAATACTCCAATTAGCCATAATCGAAATAAGTCTACACCCAGACATATAGTGATCAAGATCCCAGAAATTCAAC